CTTTAATTTTCTGGTTGACCCATTCATTCTTTAGTAGTGTGCTCTTTAGCCTCCATGTATTTGAGTTCTTTCCGACTTTCCTGTTGTGATTGAGTTCTAGTTTCAAAGCGTTGTGGTCTGAAAATAGGCAGGGAATGATCCCAATCTTTTGGTACCAGTTGAGACCTGATTTATGACCTAGGATGTGATCAATTCTGGAGAATGTTCCATGGGCACTAGAGAAGAATGTGTGTTCCATTGCTTTGGGATGGAATGTTCTGAATATGTCTGTGAAGTCCATTTGGTCCAGTGTGTCATTTAAAGTCTTTATTTCCTTGTTGATCTTTTGCTTAGATGATCTGTCCATTTCAGTGAGGGGGGTGTTAAAGTCCCCCACTATTATTGTATTGTTGTCAATGTGTTTCTTTGCTTTTGTTCTTAATTGGCTTATATACTTGCCTGCTCTCATGTTAGGGGCATAGATCTTTACAATTGTTAGATCTTCTTGTTGGATAGACCCTTTAAGTATGATATATTGTCCTTCCTCATCTCTTATTACAGTCTTTGGTTTAAAATCTAATTTGCCTGATATAAGGATTGCCACCCCAGCTTTCCTTTGGTGTCCATTAGCATGGTAAATGGTTTTCCACCCCCTCACTTTCAATCTGGGGGTGTGCTTGGGTCTAAAATGAGTCTCTTGCAGACAGCATATCGATGGGTCTTGTTTTTTAATCCAGTCTGATAGCCTGTGTCTTTTGATTGGGGCACTTAGCCCATTTACATTCAGGGTGACCATGAACGATAGGAATTTAGTGCCATTGTGTTGCCTGTAAGGTGACTGTTACTGTATATTGTCTGTGTTCCTTTCTGGTCTGTGTTGCTTTTAGGCTCTCTCTTTGCTTAGAGGACCCCTTTCAAGATTTCTTGTAGGGCTGGTTTTGTGTTTGCAAATTCCTTTAGTTTTTGTTTGTCCTGGAAGCTTTTTATCTCTCCTTCTATTTTCAATGACAGCCTAGCTGGATATAGTATTCTTGGCTTCATATTTTTCTCATTTAGTGCTCTGAATAGATCCTGCCAGTCCTTTCTGGCCTGCCAGGTCTCTGTGGATAGGCCTGTTGCCAGTCTAATGTTTCTACCATTGTAGGTTACATATCTCTTCTCCCGAGCTGCTTTCAGGATTTTCTCTTTGTCTCTGAGACTTGTAAGTTTTACTATTAGATTTCAGAGTGTTCACCTATTTTTATTGGTTTTGAGGGGGGTTCTCTGTGCCTCCTGAGTTTTGATGCCTGTTCCTTTCCCAAATTAGGGAAGTTCTCTGGTATAATTTGCTCCATTATACTTTTTGCCCCCCTCTCTCTTCTTCTTCTGGGATCCCAATTATTCTAATGTTGTTTTGTCCTGTGGTATCGCTTATCTCTCGAATTCTGCCCTCGTGATCCAGTAGTTGTTTATCTCTCTTTTTCTCAACTTCTTTATTTTCCATCATTTGGTCTTCTATATCACTGATTCTGTCTTCTGCCTCATTTATCCTAGCAGTTAGCACCTTCATTTTTGATTGCACCTCATTCGTAGCCTTTTTGATTTTGACTTGGTTAGATTTTAGTTCTTTTATTTCTCCAGAAAGGGTTTCTCTAATAACTTACATGCTTTTTTCAAGCCCAGCTAGTATCTTTAAAGTGATGATTCTGAACTCTAGATCCGACATCGTACTAATGTCCATTTTGAGTAGGTCCCTGGCAGTCGGTACTACCTCTCGTTCTTTTTGTTGAGGTGATTTTTTCCAACTTGTCATTTTGTCCAGAGGAGAATAGATTAATGAGAGAACAAAATGCTAACAGGGTAACAATATCCCCAGAAAATATACTCTAAACAAATCAGAAAAGACCTGAAGCCGGGGGAAAAAGAAAGGGAAAGAAAGAAAAAAGAAAAAGCAAAAAAAAAAGAAAAAGATAAAAACAGGAAAAAAAAAACCAGCACAAAACAAAACAAGAAAACAGAATATGATCAAATATGATCAGGCTGGTACATAGATCAGTGCCACGCACTAGATTTTGGGTGTATTTTGGTCCGTTAAAAGATAGTGCTTCCCAAAATTTTAAAGAAAGAGAAACTTATATATGTACAAAAATAAGGGTTGATATGATGAATATGACTGTAAAGATGAAAATTATATAAAAATTTTATAAAAGGAATTGTTAAGAAGTTTGAAAAAAGAAAAGAGGATTTAAAAAGAAAAAAAAGGGAGAGAATGTTTTCAGGCAGGAGAGTAGAACAAAACCATACACTAGAGATTTAGTGTATATTTTGATCTGTTAAGAGGAAACCATCTCAAAATTTTAAAGAGAGAACAACTTATATATATGTGCCAAAAATAAGGGTAACTACTATGAAGGTATAGAATATGACTCTAAAAATGAAAAATAAAAATGTTTTTTTAAAGAAGGAATTGATAAGATGTTGGTTGAAAAAGGGAAAAAAAAAATCAGAAAAAAAAAGAAAGTTAAAAAAAAATTAACTTTGAAAGACTAAAGAATCATGGTAAAAAAGCCATGCATTCTATGTGCATTATTCCCCTAGCGCTGGAGTTCTGCCATTCTCATTGATCGGTAAACTTGGTCTTGGCTGGCTGTTCTCGCTGATCTTCTGGGGGAGGGGCTTATTGCCGTGGTTCCCAGATGTCTTTGCCAGAGGTGGAATTGCCCCGCCTTTGCCCGGTCTGAGCTAAGTAATCTGCTAGGGTTTGCTCTCGGGAGCTTTTGTTCCCTGCAAGTTTTCCGTACAGCTTTGGAGGCGGAGAGTGTAAATGGCGGCCTCCCAAGTATCAGCCCCGGAGGAGCCAGGAACTCGGGGCCCCACTCCTCAGTGAGCCCCCAGAGAAAAGCAGTCAGTCACTCCTGTCTCCCCGGTCCCCTGCTGCACTCTGTGCTCCCCCCAGCCTGTGACCGAGCGTTTCTGTCTCTGGCACACGACCCAGTCTGGAGTCTCCAAACCCAGCAGATCCCTGCGGTGCGCTCCCGCGTCACTCCTCCCAGAGGAGGAAGGGGAGTCTCCCCGGATCTGCTGCTTGTTGGGTCCCTGCTGGAGAAGCAGTGGCCCGACTGTGCCGCGGATCATGGTTTATGGCAACCCTGAGCTGAGAGCCCGTGCCTCGGCTCCGTCTCTGCAGCCGGCTTCCCTGCTCCGATACCTGTGAGCTCTGCCGCACTCAGGCAGCCCCGGTCTTTCTGTGACCCCGAGGGTCCTGAGACCACACTCTCCCACGAGGGTTCCACCCCCCGCTTAGCCACTGGAGTGTCCTCCCTCAGCAGAGCCGACCTTTTTTTTTTTAAATTTTTTATTCATATGTTAATCCCCATACATTACATCATTAGTTTTAGATGAAGTGTTCCATGATTCATTGTTTGTGCATAACACCCAGCGCTCCATGCAGAATGTGCCCTCCTCAATACCCATCACCAGGCTAACCCATCCTCCCACCCCCCTCCCCTCTAGAACCCTCAGTTTGTTTTTCAGAGCCCATCGTCTCTCATGGTTTGTCTACCCCTCCGATTTCCCCCCCTTCATTCTTCGCCTCAGCAGAGACGACTTCTAAAAGTTCCGATTTTGTGCCTCGCGGCTCTATCACTTGTCAGAAGCGGCTGATGGAGGTCCCTCCCCCGCCGTCTGTCCTCCCGAATATCGCCTCGGATTCACGTCTCCGCACGTCCTATCTTCCAGAAAGTGGTCGCTTTTCTGTTCAGAGAGTTGTTGCTATTCTTTTCTTTGATCTCCTGTTGAGTTTGTAGGTGTTCAGAATGGTTTGATCCCTATCCAGCTGAATTCGTGAGACCAGATGAAATCCAGGTCTCCTACTTCTCCACCATCTTGTTCTGCCCCGCCCCCCGCAATACTTTTTTCACTCTCACTGCCTATATGATTGGGAGGGAAAACAAGGAAAATGAAAAAAGAAGAGAAAAGGAAAAAAAAAAAGCTCTAGCATTGTCTAATGCAGTGTAAGGAGAAGGGAAAGTGCTTATCTCCAGGTGAGATTATTTCAATTTATTGCATTTAATTCTTACAAAAATCCTATGAAGTGTAGTGGCCATTATTATTTTTTAAGAGATAAAAACTGAGCTCAGAAAGATTAAACTGATTTTGGAGAAACATCACAGGGGACAGGATTCAAACCTACTTCCATTTCAAACTTGGATCCTAACCCAAAGGCTATATTCTTCCTTTTTTTTTTTTCTTTTCATTTTAGTATTTGAAAAAAATTTTTTTGAAATATTCTTAACATATGGGAAATTAAGAAAATAAAATAAATTATTAACCTGTATCTGCCTTCCAGTTTTATCAATATTTGGCTACTTTTTGCTTTAGATCTTATTTTTTTAAATAAATAAACATTGTAGATACAGTTGAAGCTCATCTACATATTCCTACTCCTGTGTCTCCCCCATTTACCTCACTAGAGGTAACTATTAGCATGAAGTTAGTATCATTTTCATGCATATTTTAAGCTTTGACTGCATACATGCATGTATCAGTGAATGATACAGTAGTAGTAAATCATGGGTTTAAACCTTAAATAATTATATCTTGCTACAACTTGCTTTTTAAACCTCAGTTATCTTTATGATATTCATTTATCAGTTTGATATATAGCTCTAGTTCATAAAATTGATGAATAATCATGAATAATTATGAATTATTAATATGATGAATAATTATGAGTAATATATGAGGAGTCTACAATTTATATACCATTTTTTCCTACTCGTGAACATTTTGGTTATTTGTTTTATTATTTTATTATAAAGTTTTCATTTTAATTTCAGTACAGTTAACATACAGTGTTATATTCAAGTTTATAATATAGTGACTCAGCAATTCCATACATTTCTCAGTGCTCATCATAAGCGCCCTCCTTCATCCCCATCTCCTGCTTCCCCCACCCCCCACCCACCTCCCTTCTGGTAACCGTCAGTTTGTTCTTTAGAGTTAAGAGTCTGTTTCTTGCTTTGTCTCTCGCTCTTTTCCCCAGAAACATGGAACACTTCATGAATTTATGTGCCATTTTTGCACAGGGGCCATATGAGTCTTCTCTGTATTGTTCTCATTTTAGTATATGTGCTGTCGAAGTGACGCACTATTTGTTTTTTATTATTACAAAATAATGCTACTGTGAACATTATGCAGTAGTACATTCATTTCTCTAGGGTTGTAACTAGAAGTGGAATTTCTGGTTTGTAGGATAGTTATATCTTCAGATTAATTAGATGTGCCTAACTGCTCTCTAAAATCATTTGTTTGAAGGGTTTTACATCTTCTCATCCACACGTGGGATCTTCAGACAGCTTAATTTTGGCAACCTGATGGGTATGATTTGGTATCTTAGTTTGGATTTACTTAACTACAAGTGAGATCTACCATCTTCTTTGTTTATTGATCTATTCATATCTTTTGCTCCTTTTCTCATTGGGGTTTCTTTTGCTTATTTATTTATATTTGTAGTTACCTTCTTTTAGTTTGGCTTATAATCACAGGGATCAGTACCATTTGGCACCCGTCAGCTTGATAAAAATGTCCTTTTTTGGTTAACTTTTCTGTATGGTTTTGTTATGTGTCTCTTCTAAGCACTGTATACCTTGATTTAAAAAAGGAAATCTAGTCTTGGGTGCCAGGGTGGCTCAGTTGGTTAAGCATCTGACTTCCGCTAAGGTCCTGATCTCAGGGTCCTGGGATCCATCCCTGCCTCAGGCTCCTCACTCAGCGGCAGTCTGCTTGTCCCTCTGCCCCTCCTCCTGCTTGTACACACACTCTTTCTCTCTCCTCTCTCAAATAAATAAATAAAATCTTAAAAAAAAGAAAGAAATCCATTCTGATGTTCTTTGTCTTCTAGAAGGTGGGTTTCATTGGCTTATTATTTACATTTATTGTATTTGTTGACATTTGGACTTAAAAATTTTTTACTTTCTTTCCTTGTTTTTAATTTTTTTTTCTGCCTTTTTTTAGATTATAAATCTTTTCTTTCAATTGTTAACTTAAAAATTTTTGACATATATACTTAAATACTCACTTTTATAAAAAAGCCCAGTTATTTAATATACTCTTACTAAATAGGCAAGGAGGAATCAAATGCCCTGTCATCTTAGTCTCATCTAAAGTTTCAGTTTTACATGTTTCTTTTTAAGTTTTCCATTTTTTAAAATCTCAGTACCTAATACCACTTTATTGTATTTAGAGATCAGAATCTTTAAACAAAAATTTTTGTAGTAAATGTTACAAACAACCTTTGCTTTTATTTATTTTTTTTAAAGATTTTTAATTTATTTATCTGAGAGAGAGAATGGGAGACAGAGAGCATGAGCGGGGGAGGGTCAGAGGGAGAAGCAGACTCCCCGCTGAGCAGGGAGTCCGATGCGGGGACTCGATCCCAGGACTCCAGGATCATGACCTGAGCCGAAGGCAGATGCTTAACCAACTGAGCCACCCAGGCGCCCCACAACTTTTGCTTTTAAATATATGTGAGATGAATTGTAAAATACAAAATGAAATCCGGGACTTCGTTTCCTGAAGTTTTCTGTTGGAGTAACTTGAAAACACTCATTAAGAAATGCTAGATGAAGTATAACAAACATCCTTTAAGAAAGCTTTTCCTTAGGGAGAATTTTGAACATACAAAAGTAGGCATAACGGTATAACGTACTCTTACACACTAATCGCTCAGCTGCGATAGCCCTTATTACCTGTGTCATCTTATTCTGTGCCATCTGCTTTCCCCATTACTGTGTTATTTTGAACCATATTGTAGACATCATATTATTTCTTCCATTACTATTTCAGTAGGCATCTCTAAAATATAAAAACGCCTTTTAAAATTAAAAACATCCTAATTCCGTAATATCTTTAAAATTTCAGCAAGCAGTCAAATTTCTGAATGCTTGATACATCATAAATGGCTTTTTAAGTGGTTTGGATTTTTTTTTTTTTAAAACTAGTGTCCAAATAAGGGCCATGCATTGTGACTTTACAGTCTATGTTTCCTGCATCCCTTGTCTTTTTTCTTTTTTTAAAAAAACTACATTGGTTATAGTTTCCCACAATCTAGATTTTGCTGGTCACATTTTCATGGTGTAGTTTAATGTGTTCCTCTGTTCTCTGCATTTCCTGTAAATTGGTATTTTACAGACTTGATTGTGTTCAAAATTGTCATATAGTGCCGGAAAATACTTTCCTACAGATTCTTGTCCTACTATTTCTACTTTTTCAGCTGATTGCCTTCCAGTCCTTCTTATAGGATCCTTTCAGATTCCCCTTTCCTTTATAAATTTGGTTTTCTCTAGCATTAGTTTCCTGTTCTTTACCTTCACTGATGTTGCCTTTCCTGGGGTCTAGAGGAAGTATTTATATCGCTGCTTCCATAGGGTAATATTTATCGCCCTAATACAAAAACCAAAAATCTTGTCCTTTGAGATTAATATGATACAGATTATACCGTCCTCAGTTCCTCCTGTTGTCCTCTGTTGCCCTCTCCTTGCCTACTACTATGTTGTTAGTTGGGAAATTTTGGCATCTAACCTGGTTTTCCTCTAAACCCTTATTTCTGACATGATCATAGGTTATGTATTATCCAGGTGAAGAACTCACCTAAAGACACTTTAAGGTTTCTTAATATATTTGACTCTGCATTGTCATCCAAACTTGACACTAGTACTCCTTTCTCATAACCTCATTCTAATGAAACCTTGTTATTATCTCAAGTTTGTCCATCTCTGAAGTTGTGAACTGTTAATTGTACCAATCTCTGGTCACATTCTTCTGATTGTTTAGGTCTTTTATATTGTATTCCTGTGCCCTTGGTCCTGTCCCTGTCGGTCCTAGGGCTAACATCTTTCCCGTTTGTTTTCCCCCTTCTTTCTTTGATATTATCACTCTTGGCCCCTCCAGTAGCTTGAGAATTATCTCTTAGCTTATTTTTATCTTCTCCTTTGATCTTTGACCATCTACAGCTACCCTGTCTCTTTTCTGCTCTTCACCCTTAAGAATAGCCTTGCCACCTTCATTTCCTTTTTCCTCATTACTCTCTTCTTAAATTTCCCCCCCAGATATTTCATAGACATTGGTTTAAAAAAATCAGATCACACAGAAGCTTATAATGCAAAAACTATTACAATGAGAAGTTTTATTCTTCCCACTTCAGTCCTTTTCTCCAGAAGGAGTTAGTTTTGACTGTTAACTTCTTGTAGTTCAGTCTTGATCTCACCTACACACTGTTCCCCTCCCCCTTTCCTCAAATTATTCATTTCACATAAGGTAAAGTAGTATATTTAGAACTTGATTTCTTGTTCCAGAAACCATAGGCAGTATTTCTTGATTTCTCACTTTCTAGGATTAATGTACTTCTTCCAAGCTTCTGTTTAGCCACCCCCTTGCTTTCACTTCTCAGCCTCCAGCATTTGTATTTTTATGTCAAGATGAACATTTACATTGTGTCTAGTAACCATAATTAACACTTGAGTGCTTTGTAGAGGATTCTAAGTTTGCAAAGCAATGACAGTGCTTATATTATATTGAGCATTGTTACGGAGCCAAGAAGCATGCTGTAATTTCATCGCCTTTCTTGTCAAGTTCTCTTCCACTGGGATTGCCTTTTTTCCCCTTTCTTTTAGTTTTCCTTTATCCTCTGTGAGTGTGTAGTGCTATGTTGTGTTTTGTATTTGTTTTTAACTCCTTCATGGCAAGCAGCCTAGTACCCACTTTTTTCTGAAGTCTTCCTTCCAGCGTCCCCTTGCTGGGCTGAGTGCTTTAGGCCTGCTGCCCAGCTGTCTGTCACCATGTGACTTAACTTCACTACTGTCCAGGGTTGGATCTGTTTTCTGGACCTGATGTCATCTTTTTGATTTACTCCTTTGGTTTGGTTGGTATGTTGTATCTTAAGAAAGTAACTTCTGAAATGCTGCTTTTGAGGTAAACTTTGAGTATTTAAATATTTGAAAATCACTTTATTCTGCTGGGTAAGCATTCTAAGTTGAAAACCATGCATGAGGTTAGGAAATAAAAATAATGACACAAAATGAAAGGAAAAACTATCTTTTTTTTTTTTTTTTAAAGATTTTATTCATTTATTTTGACAGAGAGAGACACAGCAAGAGAGGGAACACAAGCAGGGGGAGTGGGAGAGGGAGAAGCAGGCCTCCTGCCGAGCAGGGAGCCTGATGCGGGGCTCGATCCCAGGACCCTGGGATCATGACCTGAGCCGAAGGCAGACGCTTAACGACTGAGCCACCCAGGCGCCCCGAAAGGAAAAACTATCTTTACCCTTCAGATCCTTTCCCTGGTTTTTTGCTCACTTCTTAATTGCTAAGTTCAGTGAATTTTCCCCCCTTCTGTTTCTATCTTATTTAACCTCTTCATAGTATTTGACAACTCTTCTCATGACACTTTTGTCTTTCTTTTTTTTTTTTTTAAGGAACTTTAGTTTTATTAAAATATATACAGAAAAGCACACTTATCAGAAGTATACATATAGCACAGTAAATTTTTACAAAGTGAACACTTCCAGCTTTTCTTCTACTTCTTGACCATTTCTTTTCAAGAATCTGCTACATTCCTCTTTATGTTCCCCCATTTCTGATAGTTCTAGATAGTTCTTAAATGTTTGGACTGCAAGGACTTGGTCTCCAACCCTCTTCTCATCTTGTATACCTTATATATATTTTTATGCCTAATAACTTTAAAAATCTGTAACAAAAACACATAATGTATCCCTTAGCCTTTAGAAATCTAGCTGCCTATAATGATATCTCAATCTGGATGTATCACAGGTAACTCAGTTTCATTATGTGCCAAACTGAATTCATCATTCCTCCAAAGCTGTTCCATCCTACTCTGTGAATTTTGACACTGGACACCCAGCCTCTCAAACCCCAAACCAAGAAATCATTCTTAATTCCTCATATAGCAAGCTGATTACTATGAATCTTCCTTGTAATTGTCTTATAGATGTTTCATATTCCAAATATCTAAAATCCACTTTCCTTTCAACTTATTTTTCTTCTCTATCTAGGTGCTTAGCATTGCTTTCTTTATGCCTCTTTGCTTGGTTGGAAATCTCAAATTCAGGTGAGATCCCTCCCTTTCCCTGATG